TATTTTATTGTATGAATTTTAAAATTTTCTCATCAAATTGTAATAAAAATATTACTAGTAAACTTTGTATATTAAAGAAACACAAACATGAATCTACAATGCATGCAAATTGTAGTGACTCGAACAATATACAAAGTACATCGATCGTAACTGTTGTTAAGTTGTGTTGAATAAAATGAAGAAAAAAAAAGAAATAAGTGTAAGAAACGAGATGAAAAAAGTTCAGATAAATGTGAGATCTTTACTGTACCTGGGAGGATTTCAACTCTGGGTGTATCTCTGGGAGTGTGCAAGCTTTTATGCTCATTCATTTATATGAACTTTTTATTATTTGAAATGCTTTTATCCTTGTAGAGTCACCAGTCTTTATGTAGTTACAATGAAATGTGTATTTAAATAATGTAAGAAATTGAAAATTATAAATATACGAATTTTGATTGAAATTGAGTTAAAAAATAGCATTGAATTACTAGAACTTTGGATTACTTTAACTTTAACTCAATTTTAATAAACTACAATCAATCATGCATATAGTTTTATAAACAATCTGTAGCAAATAATTAATTTTAAAAAAAGTATGTTTGGAATAATTTTTGGTTTAGCTATAATTAAATAATTTACTTAATATTCTTAATTATTAGATAAATGCAATTAAGACAATTTAACAAAGTATTTGTAAATCTTAAGATGTTTCCTATAAAACAGCTATTAAGTTTATAGATCTTATATTTAGTCTATTTTGTAAAAATAAATGTACTTCATGAACTTCTTTATGAATATGTCTTATAATATTATTATTTCATGCCAAAGACCTCACATGTTACTGGTCAAATAGATAACGTGTATTCGGTAATGCTTCGCGTGCAGAGGCAGAATTTTCACAAAGATTAGATGGATCCAGCGAATAATGATGCATTTACTTTTTGTTTGTCCATAACCCCCCCAGATCTTAATCTGCAATTTCCTAAGCAACTTCCCGGAAACATGAAGTGCATTCTCTCATGCAAGCAAAATACTCAACAATGAACATCGTATCGGTCAAAGTAATCAATGTTTCGTACATCCCATCATATTCCAAACATAATTTTAAATATATGCGACATGCTTACACATTTAATAAATCGCATGCAAATCTTCCATTCAACGAACCAACAAAAAAAAAAACCAACATGTGTCTGTCAAGTAAAGTAAATCNNNTTTTGTTGTGTGTGAGTGTTTTCATTTGTACGTAATTTATTCTAGCAGCGTGCAACCAACATGTACGTATTGCAGGCGTAGGCTCTATTCAGCTTTTCATATTTATAAGCATAAATATGTTCCAAATGTAGGTAGCAACTAATTCCTGTCGCTCTATCTATACACAAATTATTTTCATTTTTTTTTTTTAAATTATTATTAATTATTTTTTGTAACATTTTCTCTCTTTTACTTCTTAATTTTATTATCATCACTGCAAATGATAAACAACACGGATAACGATCAGTCTGTTCATTCGAATGCTTACTTTTGTGCGGACTGCATCAAACTATCGATTTCATTTTCCGCGTATTCGTCATCCGAAATTATACCGTCGTCTGCAACAAACAAGATTACAATACAATTAGAAATATTAACAAAAATAACTGTTAGTTTATAACATTTTTGAAAAGTGATTTTATATTGTTATGAACAGAAGTTCCAGAGTCAAAATAAAAGCTTTGCAATTTCAAAATTTTGTTAAAAAAAGGACATTTGTTGATGGAAAACTTTGACTTTTCCATCTCAAAAGTTTGTCTGTTCTATAACGAATATATAGAACAATTTTACTTATTTTTTTGATAAAAATGCATGAAAGTTAATGTTATTATTAGTACATGAAAATTATGCCTTTTTTTTATTATGATAATCGTATAATAATTACAATTTTTAGGAATATTAAACACAATAACATTGAATTAGTATAGGCCACTTTATATACAGCAACAAAACATGTTACAATATATTAGACCAGTGTTCTTCAACTTATGATCGTCACAGACAATTTCTACCATACCGCTGCTACGTGATAAAGCTCTAATTTTCCGGACTGATTGAAACCGGACTAATTGAGGACTTTAATGCAATAACATATAATTATATTGAAGTTTTATTTCGAAAGGATCCATGAATTAAAAAATAAAATGCATGTAAAACGTGTGTATTTGAGGTCAATCCAATGAAACTCTATCACTGACCCAACGATTATTGTATAAGTTCAGAAGATGAGTTTACACATAAATGTATATACCAAACACATTAATTAACGATAATTATGCACGGGCATGGACTGTGTTTGTTTGCTGCGTAGTAACAGCTTGCATTCGCCGTGGAATAATCCAAAATATTTAGCTCAACCCTTTTACTAAAACGTACACAATTTGCATACGGCAATTAAATTAAATTTCGTTATTTTAAGCTCTATCTGTAGATGGAATAAAAAGCGTCTCTACGTGTGGATTATGTTCATTTCCATTTCTTTCCATAAAAGCTCTTGACGAATTTATGATCACATCACGTATTGTAATTAGTTTATGCTCCCCTCGAGTCTACTGTAGTTCAAATTGAGCGTAGATTCAATAAAAAAAAGTTAGTGACACATTCAGCTACATCTTTCCGCTATTTATGCCAAGATGTGAATGTATTTTTAATAATTTATTTAAAATATCTAAATATGTTAACCATTTTGTCACAAAACCTCATAATATAGAAGCATTTGTACAATTAAGAATGAAGAGAACAAAAATAACTCAATATAGTGATTGATTGCAATTCACGTTGACTTATAGCATATCATTTTACATAAAATCGATGGACTTTGTCCTAAATATAGATAGTAATTTATACAACAATACTTTCATGTTCGTTAAAATGCAATAATAATAATAATCCATTTGTGGATCAATGCTAATGTTCCATTATAATGTTACTGTCAATGTATAAACCATTAAGTATTTTAGTTACTATTAAATTAAATTATCAAAAAAGTACTGATTATTTACTTATGACATACAATAATAAATATTGGTTCTAGAAACTACGCGTATGTTATACCTATCATAAGTTGGCAAGAAGCAGCAGAAACAGAGGTTTATAGCGAGTGTACTCATCTTGTTCTAGTTATAAAGCAATTAGTAAACCTCGAGTATAATCCAATCAAAACCTAATATGATTTTAATTGTCTCCTAATCTAGATTATATATATATAACAGTATCAAACAATATATTTCTTGTGTAATTGAACTAATTACTTTGCTTGTGCAATCCTTTCTTTCCTTTAGTTCGTAATTATCTCTATTTTTATCGTAATGGAACCGTAAAATAAAGCCAATCCTGCTCACGTCTTTTCTTTCCCTTTTGTAAGACTAAGGGATAATAGAGATTGCCTGATAATATCCAACAAAATGATTCCGCTTCTGCTCTATATCTTCACTCATCTCATTCATATTGTAGACGATTTTACAATTGTAAAGAAAGAACTATTGTTAGTGAAAAGATTCCATTTGGACATTTCAAGTATTTGTAATGTTTTATATTTGTTTCACATCTAAATTATCATCATTCATTTAATCCATTATATTATTCTAATGTGCGCAGTAATAAAACTTTGTAATCTATTCGCTTTACTAGAGTGCTTTTCTATTTGTTTCAAACTTCTAAAGTGTATTAGTCTTTTGAAATGTAAGAAAATAACAACACAGAAATAAAAATCGTTATTTTACATCATTGACATCAGTTTGTTTGTAAAAAATATTAACGATAATTATGCAATTATGTTTCCAGAGGTAAACATATTGTAGTTAGACGTGAATAAGCACTTAAAGAAAATAATTTCTTCCTAAATCAGAATTATTTTCAGTAATAAATTGAAAACGTATTCAATGTCACTAAAGCATATTTGGTAGTTAACATTTATTTAGCAGAAAATTCATTAATTTTGACTCAATTTTCTTTTTCAATTTTCAAAGTTTTCGAATTTTATCAAAATTTCCAAAACTTATTGATTAAAACATTCCGGTAACTTCATTTACAATTCCAATGATATAATTTTATTCCATTGAAGCATTTCTTAGTTATTTCTAAGAAATTGATCATTTCGTTAAAAATATATGGAATTTGAAAAAATTGGAATTGAAAAAAAATTATATATTGTATATTTAAATTAGAATGAAAGCTCATTTGAACTTGAAGCCATTAGCATATATTAAAAGCCCATCGTTCAATTATGCAGTGCAGAAAAAGGCCTGTAGCTTTTAACACGATTATGTAATGTGGAGCAAGCATGTCATCTGCTAATTAAAATGTCACCGGGTGACTTTCTTGTCCGATCTGGGATGAATTCCAAATGAAGCCCCCTAATAATGTATTGGATCCATCCATATTGACGCAGACATCTTAAACAGCTTAATTGGAAACATGAAAGCATCCCCGATTCACTTATACAAATTGCATTAGCGACGACGACCGAAGAACAAACTAACTTATGAAACCATCGACATCTTCATCTCGATATTATTTCGTGCAAGATGCACGTAGACACGTCAGCACATTGTCGAGGGGATGTCACTTGGACGTGGTGACATTTTGTAATAATGCACTTTGGTCTTGATTACAGTTTCCATTCGCTCACGTAGGGAAATGTGTGCGAAATTTCGAGTCGAGCCAGCCGAAAGTATTTAGACTATGCGCGTTTTAATTAAAGCCTGTAATGGAAGTTAATTACAAATACTAACACATATCCACAATATTCCCAGGGATTACATTCGCTTGGGACTTTAATCTAATTATATACGATATTAAATTGCAGCCAGATAGATTCGTATGGCTTTGATGTTTCAAATGCGATACAAATATTTTAATTCCAAACACACACAGTATAAACATATTTAATCATTATGTTAAAAATATACGCTTAATTATTTTAAAACGGTTTTCAAACCGTTTATGCAGTAAAAACAGTAATTTATAAAAGATTTTCTTTACATAATCAATACATAATGCATTAAACTTAATTCATGAATAATAATATTGATGTTAAATTAAAGCAATACCTCGCATAGTCCGGATAATCGGTACCACCTGTTCCGACTGTTTAAAACCGGACTAATCCAGGACATTACGCATAAAACTTGTATTTTGTTAACTAATAGTTATAATTAAATTTTATCACAATATATGAAATATTTTATGTATATATGAACTCATGAAAAGTTAATTAATGAAGAATAAAACTTAATGTCTTTTTTTAATGATAAAAGAAACGTTAATAATATAAAATGTAAGCTATTAAATGTACGTTTTTTTATGAAAATTAATGTCTGAGATTAACCCGTGGAACAATATTATGTAGAACGTTGGAAGTAAATTCGCACTAATTTTAATTAAACGTGCAAAAGAATTACGAAGATCCATAAATGCAGGACGAACCATTTACTAAACAAGACAGAGAAATCCTTCTAAGCTCCGTACAGATTTATTCCTCGAATTGCGTCGTGAAACCGAGCAGTCTAATTCCGGAATTCTCGTTTAACTGAAAACATTCCAGTTTTTATGGATTTCAAAAGCAATTAATAAGGTTTTAAACATATAATTTATGTTCTTTTTTTAAAGAAATATATACAATGTTTTGTATAATTAAATCTATACAGTTGTAAAATCTTTCCGATATAAATTATTACCATTTAAGATCAAAATAAAATAAATTAGTAGTAGATTTTGAAATTGCCGATAAAAAGAATATAAAGAAATGTGTTTTTCTTTAGTGAAAATTATCCTGATTTAGTGTTTCAATTTCATTGCTAATGTAGATAAATCCTATTTAATAATTTGGAGCTTATAATTAATCAAAGTTTGATGTTAATCGTAATGGCATAAACATGTTCCATTTGCAAACTCATTTCACTGCAGAATAATTGAAATGTTTCAGCCTACGTGTGATGCTTATTAAATAGATATTTAACATCGCTCACATAATGGTATTTCGATCATCTGTGACGTCAATGATTTGAATCGATAACAGCGTAGATAGTGTGCATATTATGTTGATCTATTTGTTGTATGTTCTATGTTTTTATGAAGCGCGTCCCCCTCCTCTCTTATCGACATGTCCTCGAGCGAAACAAATTGTGTAATAAAAGCATTTTAAAAAATGAGACATCCTTGTTTTTTTTTGTATTCATACAGACCGTTAATTGTACTTTTGATAAAAACATCACACAGCTGTTCATTACATTGTTCTTTTTAACCAAAAACAATACAATATGTAACAATCTACGGCATCTACCCATAATGCAGTCAATTCTCTTTTAGAGCAGTTTTTTATGTGGTTTTAAAGTTCTCGATTTCAAACAATACCCGTACTATGTGAATCTTAAATGCATACAGAGTAATGTATCATCGTTTTATTTAGTATAACAATTATTTTTCATAATTATAAAAACACAATCTTTTGATGATAATTTTTCGTTTAAAAAAAATAATAAAAATGCTTAAGATTTAATGATCAATAATATCTATGATCGGTTGTTTCTATGCTAATTGACAATAAATCAAGATATCATTGAAAAGTTTGTTTTATGAATAACAGAATTGTCAATTGTTTACTTATACAATTACCTGTCCAAATTCTTGAGACTTGATTTAATTTTCGATGTATATTGTAACGAAATATTTAACAATTTTGACAATAATACGAAATATGAGAAAATTTTGTTAAAATTATTCTAATCTTCATTACTTTTATATAATTACTTTGATCAATTCTCGAATGTCAATTTGAAGAATGATGATAATTCAAATATTGAACGAAAATATGCAATGTTCACAGTTCTAAATTATTTACGTAAATAAAGTACGTAAGTAGTTTGCAAAAAATTGTTATTATTACTTTGTTTAAATGCAGAAATTTAATGGATAAAGACTAATAAGCAAGTGGGCTTCTATATGGAATCGCTTTCAGGTTGGATCAATGCAACTAACTTCGAATTACGTGGCAAACTTCACTAATTAACAAGCGGCGCTTGTTATCGAAATTGCATAACTACTCTAGCAACTGAACGCTTTTCGCCCATTATAATTGTTTTGAAATACAAAGTTTTAACTTCAAACAAAATTTACGTAAATTCTGGATGTTTAGATTTGTAATGAATTGAACAAATTGATAATTGCTTCCACCGTATTGTTTTCTTACGTTCTTTTTAGACAAACATTTCCTTATTGTTTGTATTGAATTGTTTTTTCAGCGTATAATATGTTTGCTTCCAATACGGGTAAAACGATAGGCTGAAGTAGTTGAGGGATGATGGAGGAGGAAGAACAAATGAGAAGGGAAGGCTAGAAGCAGAGCAAATTTGCCCAGTACACATCATGAACCACTTTTATTAGGTTCAATTTACTTCGTAACCTTATCTTGTAGGACAGGAGACCCCGCAGCGGTTAGACGTCGAGTTGACCATTTATTTCGCAGCTGCCAACTTTCGTCCTTCCCCAATCCAATCTGCATAAACCAAATATTTGCAATACTCATTTCCTCATTAATGACCCTTAGTGAAGCCAACCCCATTTAGATTAACATCAGACGGGAGAATTAAAAACGCAACATTAATTAATTCTTCATTTATCTCTACCGAATTAAACAAAATTTCAATTCTTCTCTTTTAATTAGAACAAAACCAATTTAAATATTTGTTAAAATACATTTTTTTTTTCGTTCTACAGTCTGTAGCCCTTTGTATGGTTAAGTGATTAATTTTTATACATCTGTACAGAATAAAAATAATTTTGTTAATTGTTCAATTACTCACGAAAATAAAGTTTTAAAAATATGAAAAAGTTAATATGAATCATTTTTGTTTAAAAATTACGAACCTACAATTATTAATTAAACCAATAATAAATAACACTTTTACAATATCCTAAAACGAAATATTTTTTATGAAAAACACAAATTTAATAACTAAAAGATTGCAATAAATCATGTGTATTATTATCTTGATTTCAGCAAGAATTTATTGTAAAAGATACAAGTAAATAATTTGTTTGTAACTATTTGGATATTGTGCAAACATATGTTTAATATTAAAGCGTTTGTTGTACAATAATATCTATGTAAGAAAGGAAATATAGTCTTTGTTATATGCGAAGTTAATTGGAGCCAGTTTATGTGACAATATTGTTCGCTCAATTATGCGAAGCCTCTAAACTCGCACAGAAAAGGGAACACAGATAATGAAATAAAGAAGGACAAGCGAAGAAAAGTAGAATAAACATGTTAAAAAAGAAACGTGAATGCATTTCGAAATGCGCACAATTAATAAAACATATCAAAAAAATAAACATCTGTTGAATCAGGGAAAGAGATATAATATTATAGGTATAGAATGAAATCGCACTTACCCTCATCTAAGTAAGGTTCAGACGGAGAACAGTTAGTATAGTCGGTTAAAGCAAGAATAAGACAACCGATAAGAAGGAACCAAGAGGACTTCATGTTAAGCAGGAAGTAAATGAAGAACAAAATCAAATAACCAAAGAGAGTGCAACCAATCTTACGACGCAGAGTGATCGTCGGGAGTTGTTACAAGCGGTGTCGGTTACCGCGTACAAGTGAGAGTCGCGACGCCTCCAGAGCCGTTATAAACACCGTCGGGGAGGCGGATGCGCGGCCCCTCCCTTCTGAAGACATGCGTAGGACTCGGACAATCCACGAGCCCTTAACAATTTTTTTTTTATTGCTTTTACATACCGAAATCAAATTCCCAAGTCAATGTTATTTCTCCAGATTAAAATTTTAAATTTTACATATTCGAAAGCACCATTATTTGTAATAGCAAGAAACTTCTAATTCCAAGACAGTTGTTTTTGAGATCTGAAAGTTGACGTTTATCATTGTTTTATACTTTTTATATCAATTTTTGAGGTACACCCAACTCTCCAGAATTGAATTTCTCATATCAATGTAAGTTTTAGAATTAAATCATTCTATAAATATTACTGAAGACTCAAATCCAGAGTGGAATTTTTCAATTTCATAACACAGATGACAGATGTCAATGTCAAATAATAATAATAATAATATTTGACAGATGTCAAATTGAATCCAATTTACTTATTTATTTTTTTATAACAAAAATAGATTATATGAATGATAATTTGTATACTGCATACTAACAATAATTCAATTAATTTAAAGTATACTTGTTAATTTAAATTAAGGAACAACTTTAATCCAAATTAACGGAATCATTAAATTAGTTGGCGGAAGCGCCGGGTATAATACAGAAATTATTTTGTTTTAATATACTAAAATTGCACTTGAAATAAAGATTAGTTAGAACTATAAGTCCGATGTAAAAGTTCAGTTAAATTCCATTAATTATTGAATAAAGTGCTATTAATTATTATTATAATAAGAAATAAGCTGTATTAGAGCTGATGTTAGATAAAACAGAAATCGTTATTGAAATTAACATCTCATTTAAAATTTTACATTAAAGAATATTACAAATTCATTATAAGTTATGCGTCTTTATAAAATCCTTAGAAGAAGATGAAGAAAAAAAAATATATATAAATCGTAATACGAGATTTATTCCCGAGACGTTCAATCATATTTCATTTTATTCCCCGTAGAGCCAATCCCAATCCGAAATTGGCGCATAAAGTACAAGCTTCGAATTTAACACATATAAAATTATAAGGAGCACGCATTTCAATGTATAATTAACTTTGGCGTTTTTTCTTTTATTTGTACGCTTCTTCGGAAGAGTTCGAAAAACAAGAATATAAAAAAAAGGAGACAATTCGAAGGCCAGTAGGATCTGGACTTGATAGGTTTTAAGTGGTAATTGCTATGGGACTAATTAAATTTCAAATTCAGAACTGGAAATGATAAAAGGCCGCACAAATTAAGATGACATTCTCATGTAAGACAAGACCTACCAATTTGTCGAAGGGGCGAAAGGATGAAGAGACATACGTAATTGTCTTTTTTTAATTAACTTTTTGTGAGATTAAACAATCAAATAGAATATGTATGGTGTTTTTTACATTTTTCTTTTATTATCAATAAGGTTTACAGTATTTTGATAACTATTGTTATTTATAATAAGAATAAACAAAATTTGTATTTATATATGATATCGAATGATCCATAACTTAACCTAATATTTAAGTTACGAATAACCTAACCTATTATACCGCTATTTTTTTATAAAACAATGCTTAACTATTGTATTAACTAAATCATATTCTATTCATTTGTTTTTGTATTATTTATCCATATAGTAGGCATTAAGTATAAATGTGAAACATTAATGAGATATCATATTTTATAGATAAATAAATAAGGTATTCTGGTGATATATCATGGATTTATAGAGATATATTTTTTTTATTGCCACGTAATAACATTTGCGGTAACGTTTTCGATGAAGGACCCTAAAGTTATATAGTCAATTTGACCCAAAACAATATATATATGTATCCTACATAGCTTGAGGCGCAATCCTATCTTGTTAATGTTCCTTATCTATATATTATATTAATGATAACTAAAATGACAATTAAAATTATATAAACATTTAATGCCTTTATTTCCTTGAATCTCGAACGCACGCATTCTATTTTATTAACAGTCATTCGTTGTATTTATTTCCATTCTAGATTACAGCCAATTCACACTTTATTTACTCCATCCAACTTCAATCTTGCCCCCGCACTACGTTGCCACATTATTCTCTTATCTTTCCACCGTTTTCTCACATTGCTTTGATTCCTTTTGGAAATGGTGTAATTCCTTTTAGTACAATATAAAACATTAATTAATTTACTTACTGATAAAATATTGATTTCTTTAAATTATTACGTTACAAAAAGTTTCTTTTAATATACATTTTGAAATTTATTTTATTTATACAATAAGGAATTTCTTAATTGCAACAACAAAAAAAAAACCAATTGAGAGTATCGATTTTTTTTTCATCGTTAGTACAAATATAAAATGTACTTTTTTAATTCATTAAAATTAATTGACGGAATCGAATACAAAAATGCTACCTACCTATGCCATTAACTGTGTATGTACACACGTCTGCGATAGCACATGAAATCGATACTTCATAATAACGGAATGCTTTCAGTTACGTAAAATCCGAAACATGTTTAAATTAATAATGGAAGCATTTTTATGATCCGTTTGGCGTCCTTGCAATGAATAGGAATATTCCAATCAGAGCATAGACAAAATTCCGTTGCACAGCATCATCCTATGCAATGCATTCTAGAAATAACTATCCTTCAATCTAATTATGAGAAAGAATGCGAACCCTGCATTGGGTTCCAATCGAATTCGTACAGAGTGTAATTTAGCAAATTTAGGATGTTTTCCTGAACTCTAAAAATGTATTTATTATTTACGTTTATATCGCTCTATCATCGTTCAATTGGAACTCAATTAATTTCATTCGATCGTACATCAACATTCGTCTCATAATTAGAAATTAGCGATCTGTTGTGAAATAGATGTCACGTTAATATTTCGAATTTATCTAATATTACATAAGTATTATAAATATATAGTAAAAGATTACAAAAGTAGAACAGAAAGTGCGAATTATTATTTTGTGTATACATTTTAATCATAGAATTCAAAGGAATCTAATTTACGTTACTTGTTAGCTAAAGAGAGTCATCTTACATTTTCCTTATTAAAGAGGAAAATCATATTTCCTTTGTCACGTAATTCAACTCAATTCTGTTCTGTAAATACGTAGGATGTATTAAAATAAAATGTAATAAACTCTAACGTAGGAATTGGGAAATAAAAGTTGGGAAACATTTAGAATTTAATAATTGAATTTTATTATTGCTAGGAATATGCAGTCTAGTAAACTAAATAACGTATATAAAGAGTTACGTAACTTTATAACAACGTTTTAAGCGTACGGTGTATATAAAAATTGTTGGACTAGCAAAAATTAACAGTATTTGTTTTGTATATATATATATAGTTTAAAATGGATTAATATTAATCAACAACCTACAAATAAATTTCTTATAGAAATATTCTCACTAGGATCTTTAGTATCTTCCATTATTCGTATTACTGGAAGTATTGTAACTTATTGTAACTTGCACTTAGGATTATTCTTATGGGTAGTGGCTAAGTGACTTATTATTTGATTATATTGTCTAGTGTTTTTCATTAAGTAAGGAAGCCTCCATTTGGCCTTCAACTTCATTTCCGGCGATTTTCGTTTGACACCGGGCCAATGGATCAGAAATGCATTGTCGAGTATAATGAATACGTATCCTTTAAGGCACATCTCCAACATCTGAAACAACAACAACAACAAAAAAAAAAGGTTTATTTATTCAATAAGAACGAGTGAAAATGTTAGGGAACATGTAACGTCCACTCTATTCTATTGCTCGATCTGGTTTAATCAAAGTGAAGAGAGAAAAAGGAAAATATATTATTCAAATTACTTGGGTCATTTTATCTTGTTTTCCTTCCCACGAAAGGCGCTCGCTGTAAAACGGTTCGTTTTTGGTTCCGATGTAAATTGGTTCCCAGCGATGAAAGGGATATTCCCTCTTCACGACCATGAGAGGCTGAAACAATAAACTTGGATTAAAGAGTCAATGATAAATGTGTGCTCCAGCGTTAATTGTACCTTCAGCAGTCCGTTTGCTTCGTGCTGGATCCAAGTTTCGAGTCCGGGAAACTTTTGGCAATGGGAACATATGTGCCTGTGGAAGTACAAAGCTTTCTCCTCTCTGATGAGCTTGACCAGTTCATCTTTACTCCTCGGAATGGCTTCGAACTCTTCAATCTCGAATACAGGTACAACGAATACGCGGGACGGAAAACTGAGACGTCTCAAGCTTGCGAACTGCTTCATCATGTCTTCGAATTTGGAAGCTAATCTGTCGCTGGGCATCAGTTCAACGTCGGATACAAGCACGTAGTCCGTCTTGGAAGCACGTCGGGCCACGTTCCTCCCGATGTTCACAGGATATGGAAGTTTGTTTGTTGTACGATATGTTGAATGGGTGGAAGAGTCCTGTAGGGTGCACGTCGTAGGGATCGAATGGTTCTTGATGTACGGTGGGTACGATTTAGGAAAAACATAGTGAACGGAGACTTTTGACATCTCCGGTAGACATTGACAAATCTGTAGGAGTTGCGAAGTGATAAAGTCGGCGTCATCGTCCGGGACAAAAGCAGCGACGCTGATCAAACCGTCCCAATGCCGAGCTATTTCTGATATGTAGTTGATAAACTCAGGTGTAACGTGGGTGGCGTACGTCACCGGCGCACTAGAATTCAAAGTTTCCTTCGCTTCCAGCACGTTGTACAGAACCCTATACGAGCTTTTGGCTGCGAGTTCAGGACTATACTCCAAGTCCGTCTCCGCATAACGAAATTTATCCGGTAAGTTGTACTTGAAAGTGCAGTAGCTCTCGTTACTCACCCTGTACTCGTTCAGAAAGTGGCCGGGTCGGAATTGCGCGTTCGCCACATTCAAATCGACTGCACGATATAATACACTATTTAAAATCGAGGGTCGTCTACTAATAAACGTTACCAAAAATATGAACGAGGGCAGTACGACGAGCAGCAGCAGGAAACTCTTTACTTTCACACATAACAATCTGCGGTTACATCGCATCTTTCAATTCACAATCGCATCTTACTTTTCCTCCTCCTCTACTTTGGTCTCGTTTAAAATCTCAATCACAGCCCTTCTCTCTCACACACACACAAAGTAGTAGTGGTGTGCCATTCATTCACGGGGTTTGTTGTTTTTGATGGGGGTGGCGCGCCCTCGTGGCTGAAAATCAAATCACTTTTTCAGCGTTGCAGAAGGATGGATACACCGCATTGAGGTAACAATCAATACCATCAGGACTACTACCACTGCTACTACCACCAACCACACTATACGTAATATACCTCTCGCTCGCTGTGCGCCAACCAACTCTTTATATTGACTTCAATGCGTTCATATAAATCATAATCGAATTACTTAACTTCCACCAAAATCTATGTCATTTATCATTCTATATGAAATAATAATAATAATGTATACATGGCTTAAAAGCTTTACAAAATTAATGCTTCATAATCACCTACTAACATATAATAATTGTTCTGGTGATCAAAAGTAACATAACATTATTTTGTACAGATTTTTCAATATTTGCACAGCAACAATATATGACTTATGAAATATTTTGTAAACGAATTTTCGATTTTAAATGTAGAACGATGTAATTAACAATACAACGCTCAGGTGTATTACATGATTCGATTATGCACACTGGTTACCTTGAATCAGATGCCCGACTTGGATGGATGCCCAATGTCCTTTGCCATTTGAAACACCGACATTAGTTGAAACATAACGAATTTAAACATATTTGTGTGCCCTTAAAATCAATATTTTGTGAATATAAGTGCATTAACGTTTATTTTCAAATAGTTTTAGGGCGATTGAACCCCAAACGAGGTTCGTTTCATAGAATGTAATGATCCGAATATAATGATTTCACATATGTGAAAGAGAAAATAGAACACTTAAATGTGCGTTGAAAGACTACATTTTACACTTGCATTCGCAATTCTGAATTACTTTTGGCGTTTGCTTTTAGAGGATATATTTTTTTTTTGTAGAGAGCCGATGTATTTTTCGTTTCTTATACAACAATGATCGAGGTTAGTGCTACGTGCATACGTAACAACAATAATGTAAACAAATTAAAGGAAAATTTCCTTAATGTAACGATCTCGTGGCATGTTTCAGGTAAAACACGCGACTCGTATAAATCCTCAATGGTTTCATTACGGCAAACTGAAGGAACCGCATATATCCTCATAATTGACCGAAATAGCCACAATTAATCTGCATTCACAATTCATACGTGCTACATCGAGTGATGAAAGATTTTGTTTGTTACACAAATTAACGAAGCTTTTGTAAATAATATGGATTCTATATAGAAAATTGAAATCTATACAATGTTATGTTATATAATTTGTTTATTGATTGTATGCCCTTGCTTCCTATCTTAATTATCATCCACTGTAGATGTGTGTATAACATAATATTACCACGATAAGAACATTCTCCAAACATTGATTCTATTGCCTTTGCGTGTGTCCTCTGTGACATATTTACTTCATGGATTTGGTGACAATAAAAACTAGAAATCATAAATTAAAGAAATCACTCGTAGTAAATTTTCATATATTTTTATCATGCAAAGAAGTTCGAAAAAGTTTCGTACTTAAATATCAACAATCTAAGATGATGTATAGACGTTGCAAATTGCGACCGCAAAGTTTCCGCATGATATTTCTTAGTGAATTCAAGAAATTCACTTTGTGCTACAATGCACTATTTCACGTTGGAATAATATTATAGATTGATCAAGTTTTACTAATTATCTATGTATTTATTTAGTTCAAATAATGTAAAAGTTGCTGTTACTTCATTTTTGTATGTTTGTATTTTATGTATTTTTATCGTGCAATACATAAATTGATCGATCTCGGTTAATTGGAAAAAGATAGTATTCACAGTGCAGGAAGCGTTCGCTTCCGTTAACTAAACATTAATATATCTTTTTTTTATCAGGCAATAAATCAAGAATATAAATATTACACATAATAACGTTATCATGGCTTCATCAGAAGTGTTAATTATCATTTGCACATTTTATTTTATTATCAATGTTTGTTATTACTTGGCGGTAATTATGGTTTAATATTAAAAAAAAACGGTATACATACAGCAAAACCTCGCATAGTCCGGATTCACTATAACTGGGTTAGAAATTTCCTTACGTTTCTGATCCCTATATAGTTGGGATATTTATTAGAAAAGTTGAGTGTTATTTCGTAATCAAACTTGTCTTAAAACCAATAATTATATGTGTTTGATGGATCTTTAGCTCACATATTTCATCTCATATACTTAATTCATCCTATCATAAAAAAAGAGTAATCTACTGCTGATATCAACACAAAGAAATTATTTTTAAAATCATTAGTAATTTCATTAATATTAGCAATATTCTATTAACAAATTTAATACTAATAAGACTAATTTATTGCACTACTACAAAAATCTATGTAGATTTGTTTTAATAAATATGTTCAGTAGTTAAAAATGTATTCATAATCGATCAATAGTAATGAAAAAGTTATAAAAGCTATAGTTGTGAACAAAAACTAAAAGCTAAAATCCATTACAACCGAAAGTTAAAGTAATCGAGTAAATGTATCGAGTTCTTCGCATTGGCTAATGTTGCGAGACTCACGCTTACAACCATTTGCCTGTGAACTACTTCCATTTTATGTGTCCATTTGGTTACGTTACTTTTACATTAAAAGCTCGACGTACAAACAAAATAATATACAGCTTTTAATCTTTTACAGATTCAAAATTATACTATTACTAAAAATCAATATTATCATGGTGTTTGTTAATAATCTAAAGTCTGTAAATTGTATTATGTAGAATACAATAAAAACTACTAAAGATCTTGTCACATTTTGTTTGTGTTAACACGAAATGATTATGTAATCAATCGTAATACGCCTTCCACCTTGTTAACAAAATGGGACCAATCAATAACGCGCATGGGGATAATAAATTCCTCTCTGGTTAGTCTGCATGTATTAATTTCTTTCTTCTACATTTAATAAACTTAAGAAACACATCTTTAATATAATGATTAAATTTAATCACTTTTATAGACTGTTATAATATTAATTAATAAATTATTAATAGTAATATTTGAATGTACATTTCCTTTTTACTATTTTGTATTATTTATTTATGTAAATTAGTGTTTTGTGTGTTTCCATTTAAATATTACAAATACGTATTGTTATCGTATAATTGTTGAAATTTTAACTAAAGACAGAAGTTAATTACATTTTTATCAACAAATAACATTTTCGATGTAAATAGAAAAAATAGAAATGTAAATAGAAATAGCACAAAATTTCTACAAACTATATGAATTTTCCATAGTTTTCTTTTCTTCATTATAATTACCATTTGCTTAAGGATTACAAGCTGTTAATTTTTAGAAACAACAGCTTTTTCCTGTATTTATTGGTTGTTTTCGTAAATGTTAATGAATTAACCAAATACTCGTACAAAAACCTGCGGTTGCACATTTCAAAGTATCATCGTCGATGAGGTAAAACCAAAATTAGGATTATCCGCATAACGCAATTAAATCAATTTGGACAGCCCGAATACGTTACAACGCAAACCGTTTAATATCGCCGACACATATTGGATTTCGTTTCGTTTGCGTCTGTCGGCAATTTATTATGAGGAAAACCAAAATTGGAAATACGGTCAGAAGATTGATGCGTCTTCGCATTTCACGACTAATTTGAACAAAAAAAAAACCATTAACATATAACAATTTGCCATGATGCATTGCTTCCCGTTTATTACCTCTTTTTTTGCTCTCTCATTTAAAAAAAATCAATAGTTTGTATATTTCAAGTTGAACAAATCAAATACCAAAATGAGATTGAGTTATTACAATAAATCAATGTTCGAATTATTATCTTTTTTTTTGAAATTTGTAATAATGAACGCTCGCATTATGCTGATGATACACGTTGCGCAATTAAACATGCGATTTTCCAATTAAACAAATGTGCGAGTAATTAATTTCGCAATGCCGCATTTCTAATTTCGCCTGCGGGTTTATATTAAACTAATTAAAAAAAAAACGATGCGCGCGGACAAATTAGTATCACATGGTGGTGGTGGGTAACAGCATTATGAATTCAGGAGAATGTTTATGTATTTATTCGTTACGCGTATTTTAACACTCCCGTGCTAATTGCGTTCGCGAGATAAAATTTGTGGATAAAATCGTATTTACTGCTTGATGATCTTTTAGTTAGTTTTTAATATATAAATCAATTTTGAAGTTTTGCTGTGGTTTCGTCCATTTAGCATTCGTAATTTGTGTTCAAAGTTAAAAAAATGAAAAATAAACGCAGTGAAAACACTTTTAGTGATTTTCTCGAAAACTATATTAGTTAGAATGGATCCAAAAGATGCATATGAAAGCTTGTATAATGCTGATTGTTGAATTGAAGATTATAATGTAATAAACAAAAATGAACTATCTAAAAACTTGCTGTTATTTGTATATTCCTAAAAAACATCTATTTAATAGATTATAGGTAAATATTTTTATTAATTGTAAGTAGTCATAGAAGTTGGCTAAAGTCTCCTATACAAGACTTAAAGTTCAATGGATAATATTAATAGTAATTTACTTGATAAATAAGAAAGATATTGCATTATTTGCGATGAAAACAGCAATTAAAGATATAAAAAAAAGGACTTCCATGTTACGTATTCAATTACCATGGCATTGCCAAGGTTTAGCCCATTATCAACACATAACGTGCATTGGTTGTTCACCTGAATAATACATGGTGTTTTTTTTTCAGATTTGTACGAGAATGTACGAGCCAGTATCGAATAGCGTCGTCACAATAACAACACAGCCGCCAAGGTATGCGAGCGGTGCGCCGTTCGAAGCACAGAGCGACGTCGAAGACGACGATACTTCCACGTCGGGTAGACTAGTAGTTGAAGACAGGGAAACTAGCACGATCCCGCAACAAATGACTAACCACTGTGATATTAGCAATAAAATTCCGTCCGGAATGGGTGACAACTGCATCGACATCGAGCAGATCAACCTCGACCGAAACTACAAGAACAAATTCAAATCCGTCGGCAGCCAGACCTCGCACCTGGTGCCCTACAGGCTGAGGTTCTGGCCGCTCCGTGCTTCCATAAATATAAAGTGTGCAGACGCCGGACTCAAAGAAATTATCAAGTGCTGCCTGAAGACGTTAAGTCAATGGTTCCTATCGCAAATCGGCCTCACCGCAATTTTGTTTACCTGGGCTTTGCTTGGAGCCGCCGCATTTTATAAAACTGAAGGTAAATTTCAGCATTCTATGAAATGACAATATATTCTAATGAAATCTCCTCTTTAATTATAATTAAATTACTGCTTTACACTTGCTGTTTTTGCTATCGGTCGTGAGTATCTCATTGAATAATATATAGAGACAGGCTGAGGGTGAAAATGCGAAGACAATAAAGAAATAATCAAGAAATATTGATTCTATCGATTTTAATAAACCAAACAGTGTAATTATTTTTAATGCATCTATACATTTTTTTTTCATTCGAGGTCCTAGGGAACTGCAGCAAGCACAAGAATTGCAGAGGCTAAAGAAGAATATAGCTATTGACCTCTCGAAGGATCTATCGCAGTTAACTGTGCACGACGAAACGTGGCTGAACATTATAGAGAAACACCTGAACTTGCACGAAGTTTTGCTGCTGGATTCGGTTAGTGCTGGGTACGGCGAAAACGGTGGTACCATATGGACCTATCCAGGCTGCATACTTTTCGCCGTTTCTTTGCTAACGACTTTAGGTAAATTATTATTGATTACGTCTATCATTTTTTCCAATAGAAACACAATTAACATTTCATATACGTACTGTAATTAGTGGCGGCTTGTATTAGCAATTCAATCATTAATCAATTCTTGAACAACGCGTGTTTCTTCTCGATAATATTTTTCTAGATTTCACACACGTGAATCATATATTCGAACCTCTAGTAATAATAATACAAATATGAAAAAATGACATAAAAATCATCATTATTGCATAAAATAATTGTAAAAAATATGTTTACGGAATAACACTTTATTTTTTTCCATCTGTATTGCATAATTTAACATTGCTTATAGTGTGAGAAGTGTTAGTTGGTGTAATTTACAGACGTAATTACACCAAATTGTAACTTGCTTAATTTCTGAAACGGCATCATCCGGCGTAAATTATATTCTTTGCGTAATATGTTTACAGGAAAAGAGTTTTCAACAGCATCTTGTAATTTACTTATGCAACAATTTCATTGTTTGATTGTAAAATTAAATGTTGTTTTATTTTGTTTAGGATTTGGTGCGCCCGTGCCCCAAACATCTTTGGGTCGAGGAACCGCGGTCCTGTTCTCCGCCATAGGAATTCCTCTGCATTTCTTATTGATAATAAATATGGGCAATCTGGCTGCAGGCTCACTGAAGAATCTGGCAACAGTGAAACCCGGTTCGGATTTACCTGATGAGCCACCAGTAAGGACGAGAGGCTGGTTAAAATTCTTCCCGATCTTTTCGATCGCGTTTTACTACAGTTGCGGCGTCCTGTTGTTCGGGATCAGCAGGAGAAGGCCCGTAATCGATAGTTTAATGTTTCCATTGGATTTTACAGCATCTGGCGGCGTGGCGAAGACGTCCGGTTATGTCAGAATCTTGTACGGTTTATATTTAGAGGTAGCGGTCACGTTGGCGGGAATCGTCGTGTCGTTGCTGCAGAGCTCTGCCACGAGGGGTATAGTCGACTTGGGACTGAGATTGGGTTTACTAACAAATACATGAGCTATGTACAAAAAAAAAACGTGCCTTAGTAAATTTGTATGCACAAGCTTGGACAGATTTTGCTACATACATATCACCGACGTTAAAAGTGATCATCAAATCAATTTTAATATTTAGGTTTGAGGACATGATGTGATTAGGCTGTGTTTCTGCACGTACAAAGAAGAAAAAGATGAAGAAAAACAAATACAATTTATAGACATTTATTTACAAAACAGAACAAAAAAAAAAAGATAATAATAATAAGGGGATTGCAAATCCATTATGTACTTTCACAGGGTAATATTAAAATTTCCTAAGATTGTATACGATTGTAAACTAAACGTTACTTACGAATTTCGTTTCGCCTCTTTTTTATCGACTACTTCTTCGCTACCATCGGATTTGACATCGTTAACACTTTTTTCACTGTTAGGTGTTGTTTTCGCACTGTCTTCGTCCTTTTTACCTTCGAGTTTTTGAAGATTCAGATTCAACAAAGCCGTTCGGATTGCCTCCAGAACTTCCTGCGACTCAGATACACTAAATTTGCTGCCTAAAATATTAGAAAGAAAATATTCATATAGTAGTTTTGTTTACAAAGAAACTTGCAACGCTATAAATAACGGTTTATTTAAAATACAACGACATTGAATAAGTAAAAACAGTTCAACCAAAAATTGCATTTTTGATCTTTTTTAACAGACTAGGCTTCTCTTCCGTTTCGCTATCTCGCTTAGAATTGGCTTCTGACCCAGAAAAGGGCATTCCATCTTTACCTGTCAAAGAAAAAGTGCGTTAAGATACAAGTATACCATCATATAGAACATCAAAAAAAAAAGCAAATAAAAAGAACATTTATAATTTTTTTTTCTTCTTTGAAAACAGGGGGATATGTTTAACTTAACGCACTTTTTCGATCGCCTCAAGAGCTTTTCTTACCATCAGTTTTATAAGTCACCCCAAATATTTGTCCAGGCGTGTCACTCTCCAATTCCGCGTACGCTTGAAGCAGAGTTTTCTGCTCTTTAGTTAATTTCTTTGGAACGGAAATTTTAAAGGTAACATAATGATCGCCGTGGCCGTAACCATCAACTTTTTTCATTCCTTTTCCGCTTAACCTAATTCTGGTATGTGATGAAGTTCCTGGCATGATCTAAAAGCCAATTACAACTTGTAATCATCGAAACATTTTTTGTTTGTTTGTATAACAAGTACCTGTAACGTTTGATCTTCATACAAACCCTGTATTCTGATTGTACCTCCAAGCATAGCTTGCGCAATCGAAATATTGGCCTCAGTATGAACATCGCTGCCATCCCTTTTAAAGTAATCCGACTTTTCAACCCTGAACGTCACAAACAGTTCCTTTCTGCCCACGGGCATTCTCACAGTTTGACCATCTTCAATACCTGCAAAGCAAATAAACCATTGAACAAACCTTTATAATTGTTGTGCCTTGTAAATGTTATGATGATAAATTTAATTTAATTAAACATTACCTGCTGGTACAGGTACAGTTATTTTCTTTCTCTGCACAGTTGAACCTTTTCCTTCGCATTCGATGCATTTATGTTTAATAAACATTCTCGTTCCTTCGCAGTAACGACACGTCGAACGCATAATGAAAGGCCCTCTGGTTACACTCTCGAAACCAGTTCCATCGCAATAATTACATCTAGATGCCTTCGTGCCTAACTCGCAGCGCGAACCTTGGCATTTTGGACAAGTATCCACTATATTTATTGTTATGTCTTTATTGGTACCTCTTGCAGCCTGTGCAAAGGTAATCCTGACTACTACCTAAAATATGATGATAATTATTATTCAATAATAAGACAAATATACAAAATATTCCTACCTCCTGAGCTTCACCAAATCCATAAGAAGATTCAGCAAAGTTATCAAAACCAGTACTCTTTCCAAAACCTCCATCTCCAAAGATTTTCCTGAATAATTCTTCTGGATCTATGGTGGATTGATACTGCCAACTTTGACTAAATCCCTGTGGCCCATGTGCTCCTCCTGCTCTGCCACCTCCACCCATGCCACCCATCTGTTCAGCTGTTGCACCATACATGTCATATTGTTTCCTCTTTGAATCATCTCCAAGAATCTAATAAGATGAACTGCTATTAAGATATCAACATATATAATAAAACAACTTACTTCATATGCTTCAGAGACAGACTGAAACTTCTTAGCCGCATCTGCTTCTTTGTTGACATCAGGATGATATTGTTTTGCCAATTTATAATAAGCCTTCTTCACTTCAGCAGCAGATGCATTCTTACTTACTCCTAATATACTATAGTAATCCTTCTTTTGACTTAAATTATGGCTAGTGTGTATAAACCGTTTGTTCCATACATGAAAAGCTGTAACCAATAGAACGCAAACTAATTGAAATCTAGAAGGATTTAGAATTTGGACTTTTAACATCCACAACATAACCAACAAAAACTATATGTTTTTGACATGCAGTCATGCAGTGTTATGTTATTTGATATATAAAGGATGCATGTATGAAGCAAGTACTTGAATTACTCATAAATGTTGAGGAAATATGTATAGAAATTTAAGATTGAAATAAATAAACGTCAAAATGATGTAACCTATTCACATGATGTGTACTTACAATTTGTCCGCAAATTATTCGAGAGTCTCAGACTGACAACAGTTGAATTGGTACATTGGATGCAGAGATGTGCAAGCCTTTTGGAATAGAGCACGTTTTTAGCTGATAATAAGAAATTTAGTTGCTTTGAATTGAATAGACCCGAAATATTTCTGACTGTGGCCATGTTGGTTGGAATATGAAAGAACCGGTGCAATCACTAATTTCACACATGTCAAAGTCTGTGTGAAATACGCAACAACTTCACAACAGATCTTTTGTTTATGTTACATTTAATCCGACTTTTATCTATACAATTTCACAATTACGTAACCAATCGACTGTACAGATTTCATTGGAAATGTTCAATAAATAATTTCTAATTCATAACAAACTTTTAAAATATCGGCATCTATTTTATATACTATGTTTTGAGTTGAAAACCATTACTTCATATGGATTTTAATAATAATCGTATACAGTGGAACCTCAATTAACGAGTTTAATCCGTTCCAAAATTTCCGGATTTTTACTCGTATAGTGAAACATATTCAAAAATACACATGTGTACACACAAGCTTTAAAAATGATATAAAAGGCGCGCAATCCGGGACTTCTCTTATTTTTCTTACAATTAATTTTGCTCGTTAAGCGAGGTTCCACTGTATTATATTTTTAAATTTGGTATATATAACAACAATAATTTTTAGCATGGTCATCTTGATTGTATTTTAAAAATTCAAAAACAAAATTATATAATTTTATAGTAGAAATTAATTGGGAATTGAGAATGTATAAAAACAGAAATATATTTATTTTCTTTAAAAAATAATAATTTTGTACAGATGTAATTCATGCTTACCATGAATAAGTAGGAAAAAAAAACAGTTATAATTTATTAATTTGCTTACATTCGATCGTAATGAAAGACACCAGACTGCAAATCACATAATAAAAATTATTTAACATCTTGTAATACATCACTCAATGTATTACAAATACAATATCCAATAAAAACTTTGTACGAATATATTGAATGATAAATCATTTTCCTAATATTAGTATAATATTTTGAAAGTATGTAAATTTTATGTATTTTATTTACACGAATTGTACATTACTGCTTGCTGATAGATCCAGCAATCGCCAAGCAGCTCTCGGATTGAGTTCGGAAGGATCTCTACACAATACCCACACATACGAGACGCGCATAACTTTCTCAGGATCACCCTCGACGAGTCCACCGGAGGCATCTTTAACGCACATGATTTGCTGCGAGGTGAACGTGATGATCAACACTGGTCCCTGGTCCATCACTTTGCCCATCACCAGATCCACGTTGTCGATGTCCAAAATTTTCGATTCGATTCTGTACCCTTTCTTGTACGCCTCCTTGATGGGAACAGCGAATAAATTGAACGGACCCTCATGACACCAATCCTTCAGGATGTCCAAATCCCCTCTGGTCATGGCTTCCAATATATTTGGAATAATATCAACTTCGCACTGCTTCAAAAACCGTTTCTGCTCAAACGAATTATCAATTTTGCAAATTTCAGTCAGAGTTTCTGAAAGTTCAGTCTTCTGAAACAGTCCACCCATAATGTCGGACACCTTTTCAGTCAGAACTCTTGACGCTCTGATTACAGGATTCTCGCTCTCATCGTATTTCAACTTCCAGTCAATTACTTTATGTACATAGGGATTATTGTCTTTGAAATTCTGCCAGGATTCGTAAAATTTCGAATCCTTGTGGAGTTCTATACCTAAGGCTTCTGTATTTGGTTCATAGAATTTATTTACATTGCCCATATCTGAAGTTTCTGTTCTTTTCCTAAGTTTCGCTGGACTTTGATATACACGACCTGATAACAACAAAAATGATACATTAATGAGATGTTTGAATATAAAAAAAATAGAGGCAATAATTACCTTGAATGCTTTCAGTATCAATTTCTTTTTTAACAGCTTTGCTAGCTTCAGTTATAGTTTGGAAGGCTGACGTCTTTCCAATCACTTGAGCTCTTTCAGAAATATTATGTGTAACAGTTTTCCCAATATCACCTGTCAACTTCGAAGCCTTTTTGGCAATATCCGTTTTACCAGCCTCATCTATCACACCCTGCACTTTATCTTTGATTGTGCTAAAGCGCTCTTTGAAGACTTCACTTCCTTTGCTCGCTTCCTTCTCCACTGATTCAAACTTTTGCCGTGCAGCTTTCAGTGCATCACTCTCTTCCAATTTTTGTGCTTCATCTCTGAATTTCTTCAGGGATTCTTTCATCTCCTTATTCTTTGCCATTTCATCTTTGAGATTGTCATATAGCCGAGAGATGAAAGTTGGTCTCTTACCCTCTTTTGAATAATGTCGGTACTGAAATACAAACCATAAACTTTCTGACACGCAACTAAAGTTTTTTATACTTACAACATGTTGAGTCTCATTGAGAGTAAATTTGACTAATTTAAAACGATACATTGAGGAGGAAGTTTACACTAAATTATCTGGGAATTATGCTAGAAAAAAATTGAAACACATTTCTTAGTGTTACATAACCTATATAATTATGTTTTGTCTATTACACAATTGAAACTCTATTGCTAAATCAGATTGAAGATATTCAGTGCTAATTTCATTGATGCTCTTACCATATAAAAATAATTTGAACTTAATTATCTTTTTTTTTCTTTGATGAACTAAACCAATTTTGACACACTCAATGTGAAGTTGTCTGACTATTGAATACAATTATTAATGTTGACTATGGTTAGAAAGAAGATGAAGATTTTCAATTAAAGAATTTAAAAAAACCTAAAAGAACAGCAACAAAATAATATAAAAGTTACATCATCAGTTATTACGCGTTCCTGAGGTATTGTAATATTTTCTGTTTATTAGTTATAAACCTAACCCCATTAATTAAGTTGATTTACTAGACTAGACTATCAAGAAAATGGATTGTGAACCAAGCAGTAGCAACACAATTACAGATATCGATTGCATATCTAATCCAGAGACAGAGCCAAATGAACGAGAAGCACCTGTAAATATAATATATTTAAGTTATTATCATTGCATTAATATTGCTTTTTTTAATTTTAGATGAGTGCTGGAGCAATGAAACTGAAGAGTTGGCTCAATAAACCACTACGTGTGGAAATGTCTGACAAACGTATTTTAGTTGGTATGTTCTTGTGCACAGATAGAGACGCAAACATTATTCTGGGATCCTGTTCCGAATACCTTCCTGATGGAGAAAATGCGAGCAATGAAGAACCTCGCATGTTAGGTTTAATTATGGTGCCTGGAAAACACATTGTCAATATTTCCATTGATCTGTGGGAGCGTTTCGTGAAAAGTGATGAAGATATTCAATAATTAATGCATTTATTTGTATTTCAGTGATTTAATTTATTATGCATTTTAGGTACAAATTACAATAGAAATTTATGAACTTAAAAACTACATGTATTGATTGATCCATTACCTAAATGTACTATATATTTGATTTTGACATGTATATAACCTATAAAAAGTAAATAAGTTAAGAATGTTTGAGCTAATAGAGAATAACGTTAAGAAATATCCAAAAAAGGAAGCTTATGTGTTTTGGAATAATGATTCTACAAAATCATCGATTACCTATGCTGACCTAAATAGTTTAAAAGATTTATGCGATGTTCTAAAGAATTTACCTAAACATGTATGCATTTCTGTTTACATGGAGAATAATTTAAACTTTCTAATTGTATTATATTGGTAATTACTTAAAAAAAAGATGATATGATTAATTAACTCCACATTCATTTGTAGCATATTGCAAAATCGTTTGCCATTTATATTGTTAGACCCAAACAGAGACAAGCAAATTTCCAAAGATTTACTTAAAGATCTCAATGTGTATTTGCTAATATCTTCTCAGCATATTACATCAAATGATTTATTTGAGCAAGACAAAGTAGGTACTGTAATAATTGAAGCCAATGATTCTAAACTGTACTGCTATTATTTGAATAACGCTAATAATCAGACAAGTTTAGACTATGATAATGTGTGTTATGTAATACAAACTTCTGGAAGTACTGGTGTTAAGAAATATGTTAGAGTTACTTATGATTGCATCCTTTCCAACATCACAAGTTTTACGTAAGTGACTAATTAAAAATATATATTTTCAATGAATGTTATTACTGTTTCAGGAAATTGTTCTCAGTTAATGAAACCGATATTATTTACTTAGGCACTGCGTTCACGTTCGATCCGTGCATGATAGAAATATTCTTAGCGCTCACAACTGGAGCAACTTTACTAGCTACCACAAAAGAAATTAAATCCTCACCGAATGAGTTATTTAGTCTCCTCTTCAAGAAAATACCAATTACGATCATGCAAATGTGCCCATCGATATTCATGCAATTTGCCGATGACGATATCAAACATATCTTAATGTCGCCGTTAAAAGTGTTGGCGTTGGGAGGTGAAGCATTCCCAAAACGTCTACTATTATTCGATAGAAACACGAATTTGAAATTATATAATTTATACGGCATCACTGAAGTTTCGTGCTGGGCATCAGCGTGTTTAATCGATGATGTTAATGAAATCTCATTGGGATCCAGTTTGAATGATACCGTTCTACAAGTTAGGGAAGCTGACGGAAAGGAAGTGCACGAAGGAGAAGGCATCTTATTCATCGGTATTATTTAGATAATTATTCCTATTGGAATTGTTAATCAATTGTAATCATTTTAGGAAGCAATACTCGTTTATGCTATTTGAATGAAGAGAAGGTTGCGGACGTTAAACTTCCATTATTTCGAAATACCGGTGATATTGTTTGCATCAAAAACAATAAATATTTTTATAGGGGCCGTTCCAACGGCGTTATTAAAAGATACGGAATTCGGATAAACTTGTATGCTATGCAGGAAGCTATTTACTCTATATTGACTTTACGAAATCATTGCATATTCGACGATTCTCTAAACATTATAATAGCTTTTATACAAGGAGAATTCAAGGGAGACGAATGGAAACTGAAAATGCTTGACAAAATCAAAACGAAATTAATAAAGGAGTTGAGCAGCGAGTATTTACCTGATCACATTGAATTGTTAGATAAATTTCCATTGACCACGAACGGTAAAGTTGATTGCGAAAAATTGCAATACAAGATGCGAAAGTGCGAGGAGGAACCTGCAGAGATGTACGCACAATTATGGGCGCAATATTTCCAATTAAACGAGAATACGTTGATTTCAAAGTGTAATTCAACGTTCGCTGAAATGGGAGGTACTTCAGTATTAAGGATAAGATTCATCGAGGAATTTCTAAGTTCGCTTAGCACACATTTCGATCGAAAATTCCTCAACGTGTTATTAGACCTTCCTTTCAAAAAAGCTGCAGAATTAATGAAGTCTCGACATTTGAATAAATCGAAACATGTAATGTACGTGACATCGTCTATATCTGAAGTAATTTGGATATATGATATGTACGCTTGTGTAGATTCCACAGCGTTGACTTTCCAAAAAGAGTAATGAACATTATCTGTTATGAATCGATCATTTCATAGTTTATGTTTCAGTGGGAAATCTTACGTGGCTGTTGGAAACTTCGCGAATATATTTGCTGTTATCGATGCAACCAGCGGAGAGGAAATATCGCACATTTGGCTTCCGAATGTGGTTGAAAATACATGCCAGTTTGTTTGTGAACACAACATGTTATTGGTGGGTTGTTTCGATGGAATAATGTACGCTTTAGATTTCCAAACCTGCAGTATTTTGTGGACTGTATCCACTATGAGTAGAATAAAAAATAAAGCTTGTATTAGCGAAAACAAGGAAGTGGCAATCTTCGGATCTTACGATAAACACATTTACTGTGTGCAAATTCAAGTACGCAAACAATTCGTTAATAGTAGCAGTTATTGATTGTTACGTTTTAGAATGGTAAAACGAGATGGAAAACCCATGTCGACGAACCTGTTACTGCTGACATCATTTCTTGCGACGGTAGAGCATACGTTGGATGCATCAACGGTTCAATTTGTTGCTTGGATGAGAGGAACGGAAACATTATATTTCGGTACAAGGCTAAAAATCCTATGTTCGCGAGTCCGCAAGTTGCGAATGGAGAACTGTTAATATTTGTCGATATCAAAGGAAACTTGTATTGTTTCAATACGTTTAACGAAAGTCCAGTAAGTATATAGAAATAAACGTATTATGTTGTTGATTCTATATAACTTTTAGATATGGATTTATAATTGCGAAACAGATGAAAATGTATTTTCGACGTTTTTGATACACGGAAATGAAATTATTTTTAGTAAAGATCGTAAGCTGTATACATTAGAGTTTGACGAGACGAAATGTATTGCAAAATCATCGATGGTTCACAACTTCAAGATTTTCAGTGCACCAGTGTTATATAAGAACGAATCGAGCAAATTGTTTTTAATTTTTGCCGACTCCAATGGTTTCATAATCGTGTACACGTATTCCGATAGCATATCGTTATTAGGTACGATACAACTGAACGAAGAATGTTTTTCCACTCCTGTCGTTGGTGATAGCAAAATGTATGTGGGTTGTAGAGATAATCATTTGTATTGTATGAAATTATTATTTTAAGCGTATTTTTATTTTTAATTAAAAAAACTAAAGAGAAAAAATTGTGATTTATATATGAAGCTTTTTATTTTACGTAATGTTTTACAACAAGTTACACAATCTATATAATATGTCCTTATCACCGAAAAATTAGCCATAAATGAAAGATTTGTTTTTTTCCTGCGTACAGATTGCATTTCAATATTTATTACCGTTACTTTTAGTATTCAAATGATCAATGAATGAAATACATTCCAGCTAATTTAATTAATATCTCTTAAGTGAGCTTATTATCATTCTAATCTACAAATAAAATTGGAATGCAAAAGCTCCTGTGAACAACGGACAAAACACACACACAATACGTGTAAACATTTCTTTCCTTCTTTTTTTTTTAAATTAATATATTTGGTATGAATTTTTTTTCATCACATTTTTATTATTTTAAATCAGTGCCATATCACCAAAACAAGAAAATAATAAACAAAAACAAAATAATAAAGTATTACACCAGACATGCATCTAAATAGAAATCGTAAAGCTATACATTAATTTTTGTATTTCATTTAACTATTTTTTTTTCTTAACCCCTCTCTGAGTAGTTGTAGTAGTAGTATTAAGCAAAACGAAAGAAATTTTCACCTTGGACATATTTCAAGATATTGTATCTTCCTTTGTGCAATCGATATAAATAAATGCTTTTAGAATTAACGTAAACAGAGCACGTACTGTATGAAAAAACACAGATAGTTCATAGTTCAATCTGCAAATAGTTATGGATATAAAAGGAAAAATGAAATCTAATTTTGCACATATAGTTATCTAAACAACTGGTATGTATGTTCTTATGAGAATACTAGGTTTAAAATTATTGTTCCTCATCTCCTAATTCGTGTTTGATTTTGGAAAAATCGAATTCCTCGCCGGTGCCTCTCTTGAAAATGTCAAGCACATCTAAACAGGTAGTCTCGAAGTGAGAGGTGGCGTCGTACGATTCGGAGATGAATATCTGCGATTCTAAGCCGCTGTCAATGGGTTCGTAGTAATCGGAGATGGACACGAATTTTTGGCGAATCGGACCCAACAGGTCCAAGCCCGGCTTGATCTCGACCTCGGGATTTTCAGTTTCGACGGTTGTCGAAATCATAGCGATGAACCATCCCTTGGCGGCTACCTGATGGGTGTAACTTACGAGCGACACGTAAATATCTGAGTTTCTGGAAACTTGCTTCTGAGGAATAATGATCTGGGTGGAAAGAGCATCTTTCGTGTTGGGAATTGGATGATCCACCAAGCATATGCAACGGATCACCTGACCCTTCTTGCGTACCTTGTCCTGCACGTAGCTCGGATCGCAGTACACTTGTTTGCATTTCGCGACTTCCGTGCCAGACCTTACACCGACGACGCGTCCTCCCTCGCCGACCACGATCTCATCAATTGGCTTATCTAACATGTAGGTACCTCCGTAAATAGCGGACAATCTTGCAAATCCTGTATAAAAGAGTAACAAAACGTATAGATTAATCCTAATTTAATCAAATCCATATTATATATATAGAATACCTTGCGGAAGTTCTCCAAGACCATACATGGGATACAGGTATGGAGATTTTCCATAACGCGCCAAAGAATCGGAATACAACTTGATGCGAGTGATCGTTTGAATAGCTGGCTGCAGCAAATAGTCATCGTCTCTGTACAACGCCAGAGCGTGGCCCGTGAAGTCCTGGGTGTTCCTGTCCAGCCCGAACTTATCGTAGAGCCCCTGCATGTTCGCCGTGTTCGGATCGAAATCTTTCCATGTCTTCGGGTCGTCCGACTGGAAATCTTGAACGTAGATCAAGAAGTTGCGGAAACGCCTCTTTTCGAACATGCCCATCAAATCGGAGGCCAGAGCTTCCTTCTGATCAACGGGAACCTGAAATCATAACATTTACGCACAATCAATTTATAAATAGTCTGACTAATACTAGTTTTAAAAAAAAAAAAACAGATTTATAATTGATACATTTGAGAATTGATTGCATGTGCAGAGTACATTAGTAATAACCATATGTAGTTCAGATTAATCATTAATTAACCTAACATGTTTGAAACTGAACAATCAAGTGGATTAAATTACAATTTAGAAAAAAATGTATGTTTTATTGATTGGATTGAATGAAGATTTTCTAAAAAAAAAATGATGAAAGTAAATTAAATTTTCTAAATAATGAATGCAAAGAAGAAATACTCATTGTTATAAAAGTTGCAAAATAAAAGAGAAAACAAGAGCAAGCAACCAGCCATTACAATGATTGAATTAATTAGTAGGTGGGTTTATCAATCACACCCAATTTTTTGGAAAGAATAGATGTAGATGTAGAGTGATGATTTTAGGTGAAGGTGAAGTGCGTGTCTCTTACCTTAGAGATCTTGCCCCCTTTATAAACATAGCTACCCTCCACAGATTTGAACTCCAGATATCTGGTGACTCCAGTATGTATCAACAATTTAACTAATTGACCATTAGCCATCAAGAACTTGGGTATGAGATCGACATTCCAGTCGCGGCCACGTCCATAGGACTCGTCTGGGGCTGGTGCTGAGAACTTGGTAAAGAGCTCTTCCAATGGACAGATGGAGGCCGACTCCCCGCCGTAGTATTTGTTGCGATCTATGTGGAGCACCTTCTTGCCGGAAACGGAGAGCATACCGCTGAGGATGCATTCCTTCAGGCCGGTTCCCAAAACAATCGCGTCGTATTCTTCATCCATTGTTAAAAATTTATTTATAATATATTATAACTAACTGCAGAAATGACAGGAACAATGAATAGGCAGACGATTTGGTTTAGTGGGGAACGGCTCTACCGGAATATATTGTAGACGCGTTACGCGCAACTACGTTGCCAAACTGCCTTTCCATACATATAAGGAGGCAATACTCAACGGTACTCTTTGCTAAATGTTCCATTTACGAATAACTTTTTTCTTATCCAGTCACAGTCCAATTGGAATCTACATAACAAAATAGTATACTTGTCTGTAAACATAACTAATATTTTACAAAAAAAATCAATGTAATAATTGTTATTTACTTTAAATCTCAGTTTTCAAACAACATTTAAAGTACATTTGCCAATAACATAAGACTATTACATCGATTAAAATAAAATAAAACTAATTTATTACTGATATCTAAATGATAATATCAAAATCAATAAGTAAAACAGGCATAGCGAAAACAATTAATTTCTTGTAATTCCACGGCTTCAGCATTCGAATTAATGCGAAATGAGTCAGCCAGGGATATAAATACGTGACTGATTTCTTTAAATTAAGCAACCAACAAAAAAAAAGGCAAACTTTGTTTCAAAAGATATTTGACAACGTCGATGCGCAACGAAATTTATCGAAAAAATCAACGTCAGATTTCAAGATACCAACAAAACATTTTTATTGAAGCAATTATTACAAGATTGCAACCGCTTGCGAGATTACTGATTGTTTCATCGTACGCAATCGTTTGAACGTAAAAATTATATAAAATATGATTATCGATCGATACTTGTCCACTCTTTTTTTTCTGCCATCATGTTTTGGTTTAGGTATGTTGGCAAACTTGCCTTCTGACATTTGGACAGATGACGTGCCAGGTTACTGTGTGTGGGGAGAAATAACCGCTGGTTGGTCGCACAAAGAGTAGTAATCCAGACATATGACAGTTTGGAGGTGGTTCGTTCCGACTTGCTTCGATCGTTGTGTTCGTTTTTATTGTTGTTAACTTAACTTTTTTTTTTTCGATTATTTTTGCAATTAGCTAGGATAATTCAATTGTGATATGTGTGACTGAGGAGGTCAGGAACTTTAGAACTTTGCCGTTTGAAATTCCAAGTGATAAAAGTGATGAGAAAAAAGGTACCGTATGTTGTGATTTCATCTCTTTTTCCCTCTTCGTCCTGCTTCTTCTTATAACTACCTGGAAGTAGAATACCTTTTGTGCGCGATGATGATGCCCTTTGGCTCTTTAAATAAAAAAGGGCAAGCTCGTGAATTGTGCATGATGCAGACACGATGCGTGCACAATTTCATTTTCTTGCGAAAATCTTTAGAAACTGAATTGAAACATACACAAATCATATTTATAGTAAATTATTATTATTATTTCATTTTCGTTTGTTTTCTTTCTCGATTATTTTGTGCACTGATTACGTGATGTAAAGAACATCGGATGGAGGAGGAGACATGTTCTCGTGTTTTGATATTGTGCTTTACACAACCTTTTATTGTTGCGAGTTTATAAGGTCAATTGGCTTTCTATGCAATTAATTACAGTGTTGTTATTTGCCTATTGTACTCGTGCTCGACTATCTTTAACATTAATATAAAACACATTTTTTTTAATCTTCTGTTAACTTATTTCACTTCAAATTGCAACAAATACTATAAGATTCATGCATTCATTCAAAATATTTCTATTTCTATGAATGTCTAAAAATAACAGCCTGTATGTGTTACTAAACTACTTATGTTATTGTTTGCGTCTGTCGCAAACGGAATTCCACTCGAAAGGAATTTCAGACAAAAAAAAAATGTTTTCTTTAATAATTTCCTGAAATCTAATAGTAAAGAAGAAAAACAGATTTTTTTTTCGTTATTTCTTAAATATCTTATATAATTATTTGTAATTTTTTGCCTTCATATTTTTATATGTATAATAGAAAAGTAGTATGTACATGTGTGTATGTTGTAATTAAAATAAACGTGAAAGCAATCAAATATCCAAAAATAATATTGTGTTTACAATTAGACTTATCGATAAATTTAAAATTTAATCCTTATTTTCACGATAATCGTTATTGTTTATTTATATATAAACAATTATTGTTCGAAGTACAATATTATATTATTATTATTTTATACAAATATTGTTTTTATCTCTCTGATAATTAATAATATTCACTTATTTTATGCATAAAATGAGATTGGAAGTACTTTTTTATAGAGTAATTTATCTGACCTTAATTGGATATTGACCTTTTTGTTTTCTTACAACATTTTCTGATAATAAATTAATAAAACATTAAAATACTATGAAAATAAATTACTTTGAGATGAATTAATGTACCAGATATTACGATTATTGTAAACATTTTTGAAGTACAAATTCAGTAGTTTTTTCTAAAAAATTTAATTTATGTGTGTTAATATAGAGTAATCTACTGTCGATACTGTATTTAATGGCCTTGTAAATAATAGCTAGATAGTGTTGTTACGTTATTGTTTGTGTTTTAGTATGAATAAATATTATTGAAAACTCAAAAACATGATTTAATATAAAGAAGTGAGATATACGAAATACAATTTAAATTCATAGTAAATTTATGATTGAAACTAATTAGGGCTTTAATTATGAGAAAAATGTTTATTTTAATTTACACTATATTATAAAATTAAAATGTTGATATTTCTACGTAAAAGGTGCTTAAATTAGATAAATAATGTATTTTTTTCCTAATAATTATATTTATAATATTGGATTTCATTTGCACAATATTTTGTGAAGTCAGATAATCACAATTTCATTATATTTGCATGCGCTCTTTCTCAAAGATATATATATTTTTTTTTGCATAAAATCAGAAATTATGTTATATGTGTGTGGTTGTTACTAAACGTAATTGTGTTTAATTGCAGACTGTGAATAATGTCAAATACTGGCGAACACGCAACTAGCGACCCAAGTAAGATAGAAGCAGCGTCATCATCGTCTACTGCAGGGTCGACATACACTTTTCCAGAGGTAGTGCGATCTCCAGATACCAGAGGCCATGGACGTAGTGCAAGTCATGGTAGCGGTACGACGTTCAGCGGGGGGGCGGCCTCCACGTCCGTGGTCGGGCGACCATCAGCCCTTAAGTCTACTCGGGGCCATCAAAGAGCGTTTTCTCAGGGTCAGATCACTGATTCCAGCGGTATACGACCTGGCCACAGCCGCGTCGGTTCGAAAACAGACTTTATTCTGCCACCCGGCCACAAAGAAACAGAAACGACGTCCGGGAGCGGCTCCCGCACCTCCGCAAAGGGACACTCCAGACAGGCATCGCGAAGTGAATCCATCTATACGCTCAGGAGGACAGCACCTCCGTCCTTCTGGAAGAGATTCCTGAGTTTTATATTGCGACGGTCGCCGCGTTACGAACAGGAAGAGAGATATCGAATTGTTGTGCCTAATCATACAGTGCCCCCAAAAACCCCACGGAAAGAGCACCCCAACGGGAAACGGCCCAACAATAAGGTCCGTACGACCAAGTACACGCTGCTCTCTTTCCTGCCCCGCAATTTGCTCGAACAGTTCCACAGGGTCGCCAATTTGTACTTCATATTTATCGTACTGCTAAACTGGTTTCCCGCAATTAACGCGTTTGGTAAGGAGATTGCGATGATCCCGGTGGTGTTCGTGCTTGGTGTAACAGCGGTTAAAGATCTATTCGAGGATCGCAGGAGACACGCCAGCGATAAAAGGATTAACAACTCCACATGCCGAATATACCAAAGGTAAGATTTTCCGCGATCGATCACACTCACCAATAAACGTAGACAACAACAGAAAGTCATTACAATAACAACTGTTTACAGTTAATATTCGAGTGGTCTTAATATTATAGATTTTTTGGGTCATTTGGATGAGTCAGAGTATGTGTGACTGTATACATTGAAAGGTCAACGTGATTGTATCTGGAATATTAATGTTGTTAATTGCATGTTAAATATCGAAACCACTCTGTGTTCACTATCGGATACATTAAACAAAAAGAAAGTTTTTGGTGACAGAAGTGATGAACTTATTAATGTATATATATATACTTTCGTTGTCAATATCTTCAATAAGCTAAAGAAGTTTTGAAGAAAACGATAAAATGACTTGATGCATATAAAATGTATACATTTTAAGTGCATTCAATTGTGATTCGTATAATGACATCGATTTTAAAATCACACGAATTAAAGCTGAACACAAACAATGAGCTTTTTTTTTGTATAAAAAATTGATTTCCAATAGGTTTCATTGTTGCAGTAATTGCTTTCAATCGTGTGATATGTACGTACAGCTAACATTGTACATACAATGTAACGCGTGCAATTAACACTTTCTCTGAATGAAGTATTCCATTTACTTTGAACTAAAAATTTGTTGTTATTGAAAGCTCGAAAGTATCTTCAAATACACTCTATATCAATTGGTTCTGTTAGGGAAAAGCTTAACGTAATACCTAATTACGATGTACGACTTCATTTAATAGAGAACAAACTTTTTACATACTGAATTGATATTTCCGAGAATTGACAGTAAAGTGTCTTCCAACTATTTGTGCCGACAATAAAATAATCCTGTGATTATGAGACTTTTTGTGGAGTATTATCTGCGACAAAAGTTGTTGAACTTTCATAACACAATGATGTTTATTTCATTTAACGCTGTAAAACTAAAATTGTAACAGTAATATCGCAAGTTATTAAACTGTGCATGACACATGTTTACAGTTTTCAAGTTTCCGTAATGCTGCGGAATACGACAAAACATGCTTTGCTTCCTTCCTAAAATATGAATATGATTTACCATTGTTAATATTTCAAACCGCAATCGACACGCACTGTTTACTTTAGCGTAAAGAAGAAAGAGAAAAAAAAATGCTTCATTATTTTTCTCTCAATGGTTTTCTCTATTACAAAGAGAACTGAACATTGGATTTTTTGAGATGACGTAACGCCCGCGTTACTCAACGACGCTCCGTTTCCTTACCTTGGTATTTCATTTGTAAAAGTTTTGGTTATTATACAGAACGTAATTTATTTTTCGTGTCCGTCTGCGAACGTGTATTTCGCAAATTAAACAAAAGAGGTTCTTAATTCACCAAAGATTGCAGTGGACAAACAATTAGACAAGAGGAGACAAATAAGCATGAAATAAAATCAAGACCTCTTTTTTTTTACGACGTTGAAGCTCGTAGACTGCGTGCACAATTTAACTGTCGTTTTATCCACTAATTACACTTAATCGATACTCTATTATTTAGGGTCAAACGATTGGAATCTAATCAATTTACAATATCCACACTAATGACAATATTTATTATTTACACAGAACCAAAATAATCACTATACAATTCAAGAGAGACCAGATTCGATCGTGCACTCTTTCGTGATTTAGTTATTAGAATTAAGGTAGTTCTTGAGGACTACCCAGAAATTACTTGATGAATTTTTAATGAACCTTAGATGCTCATTCAATCTGCCTTCATGACCCCTAAAATCATAAATACATTACTATTATTATTTATTCGTGGGGTAACGTGGAATACATGAGCAGTCGCTTCTGGTATTTCTTTTCTTTTTCTACTCCACTTTCTTTCCTCGATCTCTTGTGTTTGTTTTGTAGTTTTCCTGGAACACTGCTGGAAATTCAATTCGTATCTGAAATATTGAGTAGTCATATATGTAGACGTTCAATTCCTGCAGCCGCAAGGTTATTCTAATGTCAAGGTTTTCAGTTGGTGTGAAGACTTGCAATAATAAAATGTTCGGTTGTTGCTAAACACTTTCAATTCGTGTTTTGCACTTCTTATTTAGAGTTACTTTTCAATGCATAAATAATATGTTGTTTCACAAGCACAAGTACATTTATTTAACAAAAACAACTACAACAAAAATCATATTTTAAATAATTTTATAATTCTAGCGTTGAGGTGAAATTTTATTTCTGCATATAAATTTAGAAATGCGATCTAAAAACCTATAAACCATACAAAATTGTTTTACAACTGGCTGAGTTAATACATCCGTGCGCGCGTTATATAAATATTTATGAATCGAAATTAACCAATTATTAATTTCGAAGATTATATATTTTTTGCTTTTGTTGAAAAGAGTGTTGCGAGTATTTTCGAAAAACAATTATGTTGACCTTCACAAATATGCAATATGCAATATTATTTATTCAGCAATCGCATAAGTTCGCCTAAATCGCTATATTTTTTTTATCGTAACTGACGTCAAGCGCGCGCGTTTTCTTTCGAGTCGCGAATAGCAACAAAATATATATATATATTATTTATGTTGATTAGGCCGTATCAATGCAATGTAATAATTACATGCGTTGCAGCAGGGACCAATGAAGATTTGTTTATGGGTATTATCTGTTGGCCTTTAACAGTAGCAACCTTGTGCGAACGTTGTTTAAATAATAGAACGTTGGGAAATGCTCTGGAAAAAGTACTGCTCACCTTACCTCCAGCCATCGGTATCCTTGCAAGAACCTTAACCAGGCTGACTCAGAGATGAGAAATATCAAAGTTAGTTATTCTTTACACTTAATATGGGCATATTGTAGATCTTCGTTTACTTAAAGGAGGAGATACATTCAGAATTTAATTAGTTACATGCTACTTTATTAACTACATGTTGTAATCTATGTTAATTATAGACTTTTTATTTTGCACAATGGAACGGAATTGTTCAATTCATATTTGTGTGAAAAGAAAAAAAATAAGTAATAACGTGAAAATGCTTCTACCCACATATAAAATGATTACGTTATTGAATATAAAAATGTATGCATATAATTATGGTAAAGTTTCACAACTAGTGGAACTAGGAAATTAAAAACTGTATATAGTTTTAAAATTTTCATAAAAAAAATGATAAATGACAATCTTGATTATATCCTTTTTATAATTGTGTCAATCAAATATGTTAAAGTTACTTTAATATTTGTCAGTTTGTTAAATTAGATGATTTCTTACATTGCCAATATGCGGATATGATGCAATTGTACTCTTTGAAGATTGCTCGAGATAGTGAAAGGCATTGAACGTACTGTTAAAATCGCCAGCAATCTAATATGTATTGAAAAAGTCACGAATTTAAAACCAGCCAATTGAGATCAACCGGATAGCAGCAGCAATTCCATGTTATTATACTCGGAATTGTACGTAATACATTGAAACATGTTTGATTTGAACTACGGTATACTTAAGCTTTGATTAATCGAGTATTCAGTGCACTTTAATTTTAATACAACACTGTTTCCAAATAAAATCTTACCCATGGCACATCTCCATTTTCTAGCTCAGCCTTTCTCTTTTATTTCACCTTGATATACCCTGAGTCATACCATAAATTACATGTATTCCAAATGTTCTGCTGCAATGCAGAATATACACAGTTACAACCCCTAAATATCTCTTGGGAACCTTCGCCAAACACCAAATACACTAGGTCGAAATTAACAATTACAAATGTCTGCACAGAAGTTAAACATGTCCATGATGCTTATCAATATATCAATCATTCAGAAGTGGATTCAACTATTGCTTAGGTACATTTATTTCTGAATTATTTATAGAAATTTTAATTATATTAAAATATTTATAGTTGTATATTAGTAAACAAGATTATAAAATAATCTTTTGCTGCAGTTAGTAAATTACTTTTTATTATCTATTTTCTTTATTAAAGAGATGTGAGTAAACTATTTATCATAGTTTATGAGATTGTGCAAATAATGTGCGTATTATAAATTAACAATAAATAAGGATATTCACGCTACGAACTTAATTCAACTCGGTAGAAGCTTTCCCTGCATTCACGAAACTTACGTACCTGTGTTTCCACGACACGCAATCTGTTTAATATTGTATTATGATTAGTTTTGTTGATACCGACATGAATTCCCAATGGCGTTTCCACACGCCGTGCATAATTGATAAACGCATAAAATAATGAAATATTAAATAAATACAATAAGTTATTTTCCTGTTGGTTTTTAATCTCGTGTCAAAGTTGTTATTTAATTACTAATATATTACAACAAACCGAACTGAATTTTGCAAGGATCACGAGATTTATTTTCTATAATAACCCACTAATCTCATTTCAGCAAAAAAAATAATAAAAAATATACACATTAAATTATTTAAATTAAATTTATCAAATCCTGTTTTTAAATAAGTCAAATGCGTTGTTGAGTCACATATACGAAATTGTTATTGTGAAAGTAGACTTTTATTTTATATTCATAACTCTTAATTCGCCAACGGAGAACCAACACACAGTTTGTCCTCGATTCTGCCTCATAGGTTACGTTTTAAATAAAACGAAATTAACGTTTTTATTTTTTTTTGTTTACGTTTTACATTTCTGTTTGAAACTAATCGCAGACGTTGAGGGATTTTTGCGCATATAACAAAAAATGTCGGTCTTCCACTTTCTATATTTTTTGACACGTTTTTTATGTTGATAATAGGAATACAATTTATAGGTTTAATCTTTATATGCCGAATTAAATGATTACTTTAATTATTAGTTAATTGTGAGCAATTTTACAACATTTCATAGCTTCGTAAACTTATGAAATAAGTAAAAATATACTTGGATTTGTGATGTAATATTTTTTGTTTTTGTGGCAAAATTATGATCAACTTGGTTAACTATATAAAGCTGCACTAATTACTTGTTTTCACCCAAACACTAGTTTTTATTACAAACGCCGAATTAAA